CCCCCCCCCCCCCTCCCCCCCCCCCCCCCAGGGGGGCCCCCGGGCGTTTCGGGGGGGGGGGGGGGGGGGGGTCGCTCCGCTCTCCTGAAACGAACACGCTGCTTCCCTGTAGCAGAAGAGGCCGAGCCGGCTTCTTCTCTTCACGCTTGCAGGCTGCGCGCAGACCAGCCCCACGATGGCTGCAGGGAAGCCTCAGGTCCATCTCTATAATCGTGGCGGCTGCTCCAGGCTGTAGAACCTAAAAGATACTTGGGGCGCGGGCAGTGAGTTTAACGTGGTTATACAGGGCCTGGCGTCGTGGATGGACGGCAGCTCCATCCCCCCCCAGCTACGTTCTTCCAGAGCGTTCTGGTCAGAGGCATCTGCCTTCTGGTGCCCTCTGCCTGGAGGCCCCGCTTGGCCCCTATCCAGCATATCGTGGCTGTGCCGTTCTCCTGACGCCGGTCTCCAGCCTGACAGCCTGCACCAAGACGGGGAGAAATGATTTACAGGCTTTCTCTGATGACCTGGGTGTCCCAGGGACCCTGCCCAAGTCCTGCTGACTGCTTGCTGAAAGCCAAAACTGCCTTTGCTTTTGCTGTTGTCCGGGGGCAGAGGGGAGAGTATTGCCCATTTCCTCACAGAGAGTTCAGCCCTGCAGAGTCTGATTTTGTGAAGCATTTTGTCCTTGCGAAGGATCCAACAGCAGCTCACGTAGAACTGCTGATGGCTTCTCCTTTGCTTCTCTCACAGTATAAAGTGTGGGTGAAGCCGGGCGCGGAGCAGTCCTTCCTCTACGGGAACCACGTGCTGAAATCTGGCCTGGGCCGCATCACCGAGAACACGGCTCAGTACCAGGGCGTGGTGGTGTACTCCATGGCAGATGTCCCTCTGGTGAGTGATGCTGCGCCAGGGCTACGGCTGCCTGCCAGGGCCCTCGAAACAGTGTCCAACTGCTGCTGTTGTTGGTTCCGCAGGGTTTCGGAGTGGCGGCAAAGTCCACCCAGGACTGCCGGAAAGTGGACCCTATGGCGATCGTGGTGTTTCACCAGGCGGATGTCGGGGAGTATGTGCGGCATGAGGAGACACTGACTTAGGTGGAGTTGGGAGCACAAAGGCTCCAAAGACTTGGCTGCATTTGGGAAGAACGGACTTGTTGTGCGATCAAGATGAAGCCCTGCAAGCCCCTCCAGGCACCTGGGAGGGCTCTAGCATGGAGCTCCATAAGTAACTGTGACAGGCTCTTGCTGTCCAAGATAGCCATGTCCCATTGGTAGTGACTGTGGTGCGAGCTCTGTGGGTGACCTGGCCAGGGGGAGATTGCAGGCCCGGCACCCTGGGGCTGGGCTAATATAAAATGGGGTTCTCTCTCTAATAAAATCTCCCCCTGACTTGGGCCACAGTATGGTTCAGAGCTTGTGGGAACAGGTTATAATTGTGCCCGCTGTAGCCCTGCTGCTATGGCAAATGCCATGGGGCAAGCCAGAGAAAGGTGCCTCTTTGCACTCTGAGCCCATCAAACCGACTGAGGTAACACCTGCTGTCCAGATTGCTGTCCACCTGCAACCATACCCCGTCCGTCCCCAGGAGAAACACCATCCTTTCCCAGCCAGGTGTTGTACTTAATGCTGAAGGAGAGGAACTGAGGCTGCCATGACCACGCCCAAAGGCTTCCTACCACAGCAGACATGGGCAGAGAACTGCACCTGTAGTAAAGGGCTGGGCCCTGGTTTCTGCCTGGTGGTAGCTTCAGACGTGACAGAGGCTTGGCTAGTGCTGTTTATTGGGTTTGTAATGTGAGGCCATTTCTTTCAGGGACTGCAGTGGTAGAACAGGGTTAAGTAGCCACCCCCAGCACCGAGGGCGTATGTGCGCCATCCTCTCCCTCGAGGACCAGCTGGTCCTCAAGGAGAAGAGACAAAAGGCAGCTTCGCTGGAGAGGTGACAGGGAGGATTCCCAGATGGCCAGTCACCTGGCTTCACTGCATCACCCTGCCAGAGCAGATCCCCCTCTCCATCCCAGTCCTGGGGGTGGGGAGGAGTCTGGTCCAGGGAGGCAGCAGTGCTGTCCCTGCTCCCTGCAGTCTCCTGGCTGCACTGGGCTGTGGTGGGTACCTGCAGAGGGCTCAGCACCGTGGCTTGCTAGTGGACGGTGCGTTGAAGAGCCGCTTCAGGAAATAGAGCTGCAGAGCACCTGAGAAGAGGATGACGCAGCTCTGCGCCGCTGACCACCATGTCACGTAGTAGGAGTTGACCTCGAGCAGGAAGTAGTCGGCCCCTTTCCTCATCCGTGCCATGTTGTAGAACCGCCACATGTGGAAGATGTAGCCCTGCAGCTTGTGGGTGCTCATCTGCAGCAAGAGCAGGGGCCCTGAGCAGGTGAGGAAAGCTTTTCCTCTCCCCTGCAGGGGGGCCCTGAACCTTGCTGGCTTGAGCCCCCAGCATGTGGGATATGGCTGTCCTAGCGGGCAGCAGGATGCTGCGCTCAGCAGCCCCTTGGTCTGACCTTGTGTGGCACATGCTGTGCTTTTGAAAATAAATGAGGGAAGCTCCTGAGCCTTCCTCTGGGGCTGTAGGCACTGACCTGCTGGCCCCGGGGCTGCATGGGCCTGTGATGCACCAAGGAGGAGACCTCTCCTCCAGAGGCTGCTTTCGCCTTATTCACCTGGTCCTGGCCTACTGGAGCCAGCTACCTACACCCATGCCCACCTCTCCCACTTTGGCATGCGTTCCTGGGTGCAGTAAGTAGTTCTTAAGTCTTCCCAGCTGCCTGTTAGACCACGGGGCCTGTTCCTGTGCCTGTCTGGACCGTGGTATGGATTTTGAACTGGTCGTAAACAACACTTCCATTACCTCAATTGCCTCCAGTGTGTTATTGAGCTCCTTCCTCTCCGTTTCAGGCTGGTTCTCGGTGTCAAAACCTTCGTATAACACCCCAAAGTCGAGATAAACCTGCACAAACCCAAAGCGGTTGTGGCGATTGCTCAGGCAAAGCTGGTAAAAGCCTGTGGACAAAAGGGGAGTCGAGCTTCAGAGGACTGTTAGCAGATGCTGCGCTGCTCAGAAGTTATCTGAATCCTCCACTCAGATACTTCCCACCTCTGGAGGAGTAAGACACGGTCTGAGCGCTCAGAAACCCCGAGACAGCCTGCTGGATGCTCTAGTCCTGCGCTCAGCACTGGAAGTGCCAGGTGTGAAGCAAAGTCCCTGGCCCCGTGGCTGTGACGGTTGAGCTTTCAGGGAACAGCAGGCCCTGCTGGAACTCGGACAGTCCAGGGAGGGAGGACAATACCTGTCTCCTTGGTTGAGAAGTTGATCTGTCCTCGCACGTCCTGGGCAGTGCCTACATGGAAGCCATTGGGGTCACTTGCTGTGACCAGGACGTGTCTGTCAGCCATTCCTGACGCCCGCTGCACCTGAAACCAAGGCAGGGAGAGTAGGGAACATCACGTGCTGCTCTGCACCCTGCAAAGGATCTGCCCCACAGAAGCTGGCCTGGGACCTCCCAGCTAACAGTGCTGCCAGGCCGTCTGCGTGGAGGTGGGTTTGCTCTGCTCTCAGCCACAAAGCTCGTGGCTGCTCAGCAGTACCTGCTGTCCCTTTGTGCTCACTGCCCTCGACTGGGCAGGAGCGGATGGTCCCTGAGCCTGTCGGGCAGGCTGTGCAGAGGTGAGACCACAGGGCAGGAAAGGCCCTGGCACCACTGCCACCTGCCTGCTGCGGGGCCCTGCCAGGACAGCCCATCCAGCATGTGCGTGGAGGCCTGGCCAAGGCTCGTTCTCTCCAAACAGGCATGCAATTCGCTCCTGTCTCTGCAAATCTGGCACCTTTTCCAGGTGCAGGGACAGCCATCCTTGGACGCACACCAGGGACGGGAGGGAAGCAGAGACCCTGCCCCCATGAACTATGAGCGAGCTCCGCTGAACCGCTCCCTGCCAGCTGCTGCGCTCCACACGGCTCCGAAGTACCCTGTGCCGCTGCAGATAAAGGGGCGGTTGATAACTCTATTTATACGCCTCAGCGTCCGTTAAGTGCCAGGCACAAATGCCCCCAACCTGCGAGAAGCAGGAGCTGGGACCATGATAAGGGGTGAAGGGTTCAGCCTCGCACCTGGAACAGGAGCAAGCAAGCGACCTCCAGGATCCTGCTGTGGGGGGTCAGAGGGCCTAGGGCCTCCTGGCTTCCAGCTGACCGTACTGGATGGAGACGTCTGCAGTGATGGTACCTCAGCACCACAGGCAGCCAGGACTTACCCCTGCGCTGCCGTTGCTCCCTGCCCAGGCTACACGTGGCACTCGGGCCCTGATTCTGAGATGCTGAGCTCCTGTAGCTTCCCTGACTTCTACTGGGGCTTTGGAGCCAGGCCCTTAGCCTGAGTGTCTCAGTCCTATGCCCATTAGGGTAGTGCTGACCGACCACCTAGCATGGGCTGTGAAGGGCTCATGCCCGTGCATTTTGGAGAAGACATTTAAGCCTCATCCCAGGATGCCAGATGGGATGGACTGGGGTCGGAGCCCATCATGCTGCCGTTCCCTTGCTACGCACTCTGCTCAGTCCTGGTCCCCATCTCCTGCACAGCGGAAGGGGATCAGGGAGGTGATGGCAGTTCTGAGGACTGGCCCAGGAAGAGGAAACAGCCTTCCTTGAGAGGGATGAAAACAGAAGGATACAAAATAGTATTTTACCAACTACTCAGTTGGCCTCAGATACCACATCCACTCAAAGAACCTTGCAGAACAGCAAACTGGGTGGCTCTTATTCAGCCTCTCTCAAACATTGAACTTGAGAGGCAGGAAACTTCTAACTGAAAGAAGCAATGCTGATTTTTTAAAAAACATTTTTTAAGACTAATGGGATTGATTAAATTATTGAGCCTGGCCTGCAATTAGCCTGTTAGGAGGCAGATTATAAGCCAGGCAACTCATGCTGCTCTGACAGCTGCAAAGGCAAAGGGGTTCCTGCTGGGTTTGGACCTGGGAGCTTCCAGGTACAAAGCAAACACGTATTAGACCACAAAAGCCCGCTGCACGGATTTACATGGTACACAACTGCTCTGCCCCGAGCCAGCTGGGACAGAGCTTAGTAGTATTCAAGAAAGGTTGGATGAACACCCAGTGCTAGGCTCACAGGGGGTGGTTTCCTCCCCAGTCACTCCAATTCTCAGGTTAAGCCAGCCATACAGGTCAATTAGGGCTAGGGGAAGATGTTTTCCCTGAGCCGGTCCCTCCACCTCTCCCTGGAGCAGCTGGCAGGCACCATGCCAGCCCCTTGGACCTGGAATAGCTATTCCCACTCAGACCCAGGAGGCAAACCAGGCAGCCCCTCCCATCTGCCAAAACCTGCAGCACCAGCACTCACCTCATAGCTGAAGTAGAAGTGGCTGCTCTGATGTGCGAACTGCCAGAAGCACTCAGTGCCCGCTCCAGGGATGACAATGGCGAAGTCGTAGCGATCAGCCCCATGGAAGAGAGGCTGGTCACTGGCCTCACTCAGAGGCTCCGTCTTGCGGCTCTCAGCAGGGCCCAGCAGACTGAGCAGCACCACGGTCAGCACGATGGGTGCCAGCGGGAGCATGCTGCCACCTGAGCCTCAGTCCTCTGGCTGGGGCAGAGCAGGCGCCAGAGCCCAGGACCACAGGGTATAATCATTAACCTCACTCCTCCCCTGATTTTTCCAGACGGCCTCTCAAGCTGTCAGCACAGCTGCCCGTATCCAAATGCCAGTGCACCTGGGACAGGGCAGCTCCTCAAGGTGAGCTCAGAGGAAGCAGGGGGCCAGCTGGCACAGCTGGGCAGCGTGTTTCCATTACAGCCTGGCAGGCCACAGTATTCTGTGATGCCCCCAAAGGAGCAGGAAAGAAGCATCCCTGGGCACGTGGTACTTTCTGGGGGACCACAGAGGGCTGGTCTCCTCCTGTCCCTAACAACAGAGGAAAGTGCTACTCACATCTAGATAGCACTAGGCAGACCATCGAGGACTCCTCCCAGCGGGGCAGCACAGCGTGCTTTCCAGCAGGGATTCTGCCAAGCACGAGCTCTAATGGGAGAAGCCCCCAGCACCCCTGCTCCCTCTGGAATCAAAGAGGCGATGTAAAGAGAATTAAACCCAGTCCTATGGGTAGGAGAAAGGGGGCAGGTGCTTCTGATACCTGCCCTGTCCCTGAAACAGCACAGCAGAAAAAAGGGTGCCTGACCCTCTCAACAAAGCAGCAAGGGATGCTTCTGGGGTACCAGGCACTGTCCCCTCATCTGATCAGCCCTGCTCTCCCCAGCTGGTCCCTGGCTGAACCCCCAACTTCAGCTCCCTTCGTTAGTGCCCCTCAAGTGCTTCCCCTGCTGGGTCTCTGGAGGCTACAGCTGCACCAACCTGCTTCAGGCAGCAAAGGAACCAAGCACTCTGCCTACCCCTAAGTGGAAAGGGCTCAGAGCCAGCAGAGCAGGGAGCCTGGCTGGACAGCACACAGCAATTTGCTTGTGGCAACACAAGTGTTGGCAAGGCTTCACCCTGCACAGGCCAAGAGCTGATGGAGAGTGAGCCCCAGCTAGTAATGAGGGAACTTTGCCCACAAACTGCTGTTTCCAATGGTTACAGCCTGCTCTTTCCTCAGCAGCCCTTCCATGCTGCTGCTACCTGCTAGAAGAGGGTTGGCCTCTCTCAGACCCTCTTCACCCCTGCTTGGAGCAGGCTGCAGCCTTCTCAGAGCGCAGTCCATGGCTGAGGCCATGCCTGCACTTCTGGCTGGCTCATAAAGCCAGCATAGGCTGGCACTTTGGCTGCAAAGGGAGCTACACACAGCTGGTGCCAGGTTGCCGACCCCAGGGACATGCCCCAAGCTATTCCACCACTGAGGCAGGACCTTCGCCTGGGGCAAAGGCCACAAGAGGTACAGCTAAGTATTGCTACAGCAATGCCTCATACACATGGGACCTGACTAGACCACACGGTGCCTTTCAGGGCCAGAGAACTACTGAGGCAAACAGAAGTGGGGAATCATGCAAGGAAAGAGAGAGCTCAGAGGACAAGGTCAAATGAGAGGGGAAAAAAAAATGAAGCTTCTACCTTGGAGACTACTAACATTTAATACTAAGACAAAACATCTACTTTATAAAGCCTCAACCCCGCCCCCCAAACATATTTACACAAGTCGAACAACTGTGCTGATCACCTCGCCAAGACACAGACCTCCTTCACTGACACCAGCTGTTCCCACTCCCTAGCTTGGCTCCCTCTGGGACAGCTGGAGGAACACACAGATCGGACAAGTGATTCTCAGCTGATGTAAGACACTTAAAATATATAAAAATAGCTGCAAGGGGATAGTTGGACCAAAACCTGATCTGAGAAAGCTGCACCCCTTGATGGCCCCCTTGAAACTTGCTCAGGTTCAAGTTCTAATTTGCACAGGGCAAAAGCGGCAGTTATCAGATGGGAAAAGAAGCCGGGGCCCTGGCTATTTGCAAAGACATATAAAATGTCACCCTTGTCACTTCCAAGGCTGCTTCCGTACACACCAGGCTGCACGGCGCCTGTCGCCTGATGCAGATTTAGAGTTAACAACTTGCAAGAACTAGAAAGAGAACATTCCTGAAATCCCGTTAGTTTTAGCTTCATCCTGCTGCAGTGCATGACCCTCCTGTGTGCCCACAAGAGCTCTCCACTGTTTCCAACATGTGCCGGGGAAGGGGACTAGGACCCTTTCTGCTGCAGCAGCCATTGCTTTGGTCTCTTGGAGAAGAAGTGAGCGCCTGCTGGCTCTCCAAGTCTCATTCTCAGTCAAGTCCCAGTTTTTTCATGGTTCGCCAGCGATCCTTGATCATCACAGCTGTGCGGTTGCGAAAGGGATATTTTTTACAAATGACTTTCCATCTCCCTTCTCCGTACTTATTCACTCCTTGTTTGATCCACTCGCTTTCCTCCACTGTCCACCTCTGAGGGGAAAAAAGAAAGAGAGCTTTCCACAGCCATGAAGACACGGGTCCCACCAGTCTCAGTACAGCACCGAGATGATACATTTCCCTTCTTTAAATGCAACCCCACACATAAGCACCGAGCGCGTGATCACTAAGTTCTTGTCATGTGGTTGCAAGGCACCAATACCTCACTAACAGCCCCTGATAAGGGATCCATCGATCACTCCTCAGTGCCTGGAAAACTGGACAGACCACACACCACAAGAGTGTCATGACACAAAAAGGAGCAGGCACTAGCAGTAGCCCAGCTTGGCGCCTGCTGGAAGTGCATTTCAGTTGCTAGCTGCATGGTTAGGGAAGCACTGTGCTGTATGACAGCGGTGTCCGATTCTCCTCCCCCTCACCTCTACTGCCTGCAGAGCACATCTGGTACCAGGTATATATGCTTATCCTGGTTTCTAGGAGGAGTTGCTTAAGGTAGGCCCTGTGAATCCAGAGCCCTGCCCCATCTAGCTCACTCAAGGCATGCTCACAGGTTGCATAATGAAAGTCCCTCAGAACATGCTGTATGCTGGCACAGTGTTTGGGAGTTCTCCACCCACAGCGCACCAGTTTTAGTGAACTAAATGCAGCTGCAAAGGAAGAAATCTCTGGCCAGCACAAGGCACTGCCTCCCCTGCTGCTTGCTGCCTTAGCACTCCTGCACTGATATGCAGTGTTGGGAACTTGCTGGTGGGATCGGGAAGCCCTGGATTACCTGTTTCTTGCTTCCAGAGATCGAAGATTTCCGACTGTCCTTCCCAGGTGATGCTGAAAGACAAATCCAAGGACAGCTGCATTTCAATGGCCCTGATGTGCTTAAGTCCCATAGTTCCATGAAAGGATGCATGGCTACCCTCATCTATGGCCTGGCTCCCTCACACAAAGCATAACTAAGGAAACCTAGCAATTAAGACAGAAAGGAATTCATTTTTTCAAGCTGCCAATATATGTGTCCAGCTGCGATATGTCTACACCTCACACAGAACATCAGGGGAAATCAGTCCATGCCTGTGCGGGCTCCAGGCTAATGTGGATATCCTGCTGCTGGTACCTGTGCAGTACAGGCACTTCCATTTGTAAATGAAGTTAAATGAGGTGCCTGGAGGTCAAAATGCACCTGGGTCCAGTGTTTAGCTGTAACTAATTGCACCTGCTGAAATGAGAATGTACAATCTAACCTTCCCTTCCTTTCAGTGGTTAGCTGTGAGGAGCTGCCATTGGTTTTGGTATCAGAAACAGGAAAGCATATTAGCTTGGCCTCAGGTCTGAAATTATAATGAAGGTTCTTGGTTTGCAGCTCAGGCTCAGGTAGAGGAGAAACACCAAGGCACCTGCCCACTTCAGCAGTCCTTCAGCAGTGGCCTTAATCCCACTCCCTCATGGCTTGCAGGATTTCTGGCCTTCCAGCTGGTGTCAGCTCCAGAAGGCAGCAGAAAGCTTGGAGTATGCAGCATGGCAGGGGCCAGCACATACACAGCAGAGGTGTAACCTTACCTGCATCCAGGAAGAGCTCATCTTCATCACTCCAGGTGTCCCTTTCTTCTGGCCTGTTTGAGACTCTTCGTGTTGCTCTGAGTGACCTGAGAACATAAAAACACCCAGCTGAAGTACAGTGAGTCAGTGGGCTAGGGAGGGCCCAGGACAGCATTAATCCACACAGCTAGCACATAAAGGTCTGAAGAGCTACTCCCTCCTCACCAAGAGACCACTGATGACAAGAATTCACCCCAGTGAAGCAGGCCCAGGGGCTGGGATAATGACTACAGCTCTGAACACCTGCACTGCTTCACTACACTTATTCCTTGTTCTGGACCTCCTCTTGAGAAGCCCAATTGCAGGCAAAGGGTGCCATGTGGGGTGGGAATGCAAAGCTACTCAGCACTGCCAGAAGACCTGCAGCACATCATCTTCTGGGACTAGGACAGACACTGCATCAAGCACTCATGCCACAACTGTGCTAACTGTGCTAGAATGAGCAGGCACTGCAGACAGCGACTGCCCAGAGGATGCTACATGTAGCCTGAAGCAGAAGTGCTCAGCCAGGATCACATGCTTCACAAGGCTGCTCTGAATGGATCACACCTGGTTCAGATCACTCAGAGACACCTCACTGACTCAAGCTCCTGGTTCTAGCCTATGTAAGCAGATGCCCTGTGCCAAGCTCTCCAGCTACAACCACTTGCATTTAAAACACTTCACAACCTTCAAGTACTGCAGCATGGGAAACTTAAAAGGAATCTCCTGTGCTCCTCCTAGTTGGCTCCAGTGGATGACACAACTGCTCATGCAGGGAAATTCACAAAGCAGCAGCAGGGCAGAGGAAACCCTGGGAAAGACATCCTAACAGCCAGTGCCCACCGCTGCCATGTAAAGGGTTACAGAGCAGACAGAGTATCCAGGGTGAGCCCCACAACCAGGAGGTTCCAGGGTGTGCCAGGCTTCAAAGCTGCACCAGCTGCTGGTGAGGAGCTCCAGCCCACTGCACCGCAGTTCCCAATGTGTGGCAGAGAATGATCTCTCACCCTAATTCAGGGCAACAGCTAAAGTTGTTACTGGAGAGGAGGTTTAGACATTTGTAAGAACTACTTCACGGTCAGGGTGGCTAAGATCTGGAACCAAATTCCAAGGGAAGTGGTACTGGCTCCTACCCTGGGGGTCTTTAAGAAGAGGCTTGATGCCTACCTGGCTGGAGTCATTTGAGCCCAGTTTTTCTTCTGCCCAGGCAGGGGGTTGGACTTGAAGATCTACAAAGTCCCTTCCAACCCGACTTCTATGATTCTATGATTCGACTGGGATGTGGATACAGAATTCTCTCACCTCTGCTACTACTAACCCAAAATGTAAGCTACAGTAAAAACTCTGGATTCCAGTTAATCAAACATGCACCATCTGGTGCACTCCCCGGTGTCAGTGTGCTGGGGGACAGGGAGGGAAGCCCCGCACAGGCTGCTTTGCCTTGGGTTGTGGGCCAAAGTGACAAAAAAAAACTCGGCTCACGGCGGTGAAACTGGAAGTCCCTGGAGGTGATACTTCCAGTTGCGCTTTTGCCACGTCCCTTGGTTGCTGGTTAATAGTTTTCCGGCTAATAAAGTGCCGGTTAACACAGCTTTTGCTGTATATGTTTATGTTATCTGTCTCCATGTTTTGCAGCAGGCAGGGATCTCCACTGTTTTGTGTTTGCACTGGTATAAGGCAAGGGAGTCAAATATACAGCCCGTGGGCCATATCTAGCAGGACAGAGATGTTTGCTGTGGCCTGTGGGACTCCCACAGGAACTGAGAACTTGGAGGTGGGGCAAACAAGACACAGGGCCCGCCACTGAATTTGGCCTACAAGACCCTGTTGGAGATGGCCTTCATCGGCAAGATGAGCGACAGCTGTGGCAACACAGTGCCATCTGCCCCACTGCCTCCTCCACCACCAATGCATGCCCTGCTGCTCCTGGATCCACATCTGGCCCATGAAGAGCCCTGCAGTCCAGGTTGAGCCCAGGGTGAGTCGGACAGTCCTGGTAATAGGGGTTGCTGTTTGTTTCCTGTAACAATATTTGGTGCAAGTCCTCAAAGCACTGAGTGCGAGCGACACGCAACATCTGATAAGCTTCGTACTTAGAACGTTCAGAAGATCCAGGCTGGACAGGCGGCTTCTCGACAGGAGGCCTGGATGCAGAAGACACCACAGGCTCCTGGGATGAGTCTGGACTCTCAGTGGTGGCACTCTTCTGGCTGTCCTCACGCATAAGCAGTGTGCATATGTTCAACAAGCGTTGGTTCTTTGAGGGGGATTTGGGGGTTTCTGAAGCATCAGAAGCTGGGCTTTCCTCTACCCTTTGTCTCTTAGCTCTGTGGGATACAGGAGACAGTTGCTTAGAGAAAGAAAAGTCTGTTTCATCCAGCTGGCTGAAGGTGGCTTCAGAATCTCGGGAATCCGACAAGATCTTGAAGGCTTCTCTCAAAACAGAAATCCCAAACGCAGTTACTGTCCCAGGGGGCTGCCTATAAAAGAAACAAAACTAAGCAGGTGTGTCATGGATTTCACCCCACCACTGCCTGTCTGAAATCAAGGCTGTTCCCCACCCCACTCCCCATCACTGCTCTAAATAAGGTGTTGCCAGCACCCACCAAAATAAACTTCTGGGCTGTTCACTATCCTGCCAGTTGCAGTGGGAAGCAGCCTCCCTCCAAGCACTGGCAAGGCAGCTTGGTAGAATCAGCCCCTACCGTGCAAGCATCCTCAGCTTACACCTTCTGCCACAGAACACCAACTCCCAGGCCACGCAGCAAACCCACACCCACCAAACCACATAGGTACTGAAGTCCTTCTCCGAGCCTCTGACTCTCCCATCAACCTTACAGTCCCAGTGCATCACGGGGCCCTTTGGGGCAAAGCTTCCTCTTAACCTAGGGCTAAACCACTTGGTGAAAAAAACTTGATAGCAGTGGCATTATCACCCAGAGGAGATGCTGTCAAGCTGCACTTGCTGCATTGGCCAAATTTCTCTGCCTACCTCTCAGATTGTATGGGAGACGCTGCCTGGGGCTCTGATGCAGCTCCTGGGTCTTTGGATGCTTCTGGGGGCTCTGGCATTTCTGCTGTGTCCTCAGAGGCTTCAGAGGGCTCTGGCATTTCTGCTGTCACTTTGGAGGCTTCCAGGGGCTCTAGTGTTTCTGCTGGGTCTTCAGAAACTACTGGGAGCTCTGGAGTGTCTGCCAGGTCCTTTGACTCTTCTGGGGGTTTTGCCTTTTCTGCTGGGTCCTTTGAGGCTTCCAGGGACTCTAGCATTTCTTCTGGGGCCTTTGAAGCTACCGGGGACTCTGGCGTTTCTGCTGGGTCCTTTGAGGCTTCTGGGGGCTCTGAAGCTGATGCTGGATTCCTAGAGGCTTCCAGAGACTCTGAAGTGGATGCTGCATTCCTAGAGTCTTCCAGGGGCTCTGATGTGGCTTGGAGGCCCTTAGGTTCATGCACATGTTCTGAATTTAGAGTCTTTTTCACCACCTTGAACAAAGAAGAAAGCGTGCACTCATTACCAAGAGGACTGTGATCTTATCTCCCCTCCAAAAGTAGGGAATGATATTTTGAACAATTTAATACATAACCCCCCCACAGCTCCTTGCTGTTCCACAAAGGGCACAAATTAGGATCTTGATGCTGGCAGACGTAACACTTAGAACATTCTATATACTCTTTAGATCCCAAGGGTCTAGATGTACATGTCACTTCAGACCGGTTTAAGCTTCCTGGAATATTTCAAGAGCACACCAGGAAAATCAAGTACTATTTTGAGCTGATCTTCCTTGAACTTGTTCACTGTTATGTGTGGACACAGAGCATTCTGTGTCTAGTGTCTGGTCAGTCCTCCAGACAGCCCAAAATGCACCCCTCTGCACCCCTTCTCCCCCTTTACTCTAGGGTAGCATTTCTTAACCTGTGGGTTGCAACCAAAAGTGGGCTGCAAGAATATATGAAAGCATCGCGAACAAACAGATTCTCCTTTAAAGACGAAAAACATGGGAAACTGTGGGTTTTCTCTTGCAGGCTGGCAGTTTCAGCCCCCCCCATACCCTACACAATGTGGGCCTCAGGCCTGGTGGTGGAGGGCAGTGGGTCAGGAGTGAGGGGCACTGGGTTAGGACTGGCCATTGATGTTTACATGTGGGTCTTGGCACAAAAAAGGGTTCTAGGAAATTCCCAGGGAAACTCCTGGCACCAACCCAGGGAAGGCAGGATGGTCTGGGTACTCTGCCACCCCCCAGTGGTGCTTTGGCAGCAATACAGTCCCTAAAAGGCTAGAGGTCGACTTAGAAACCCTAGCAGTGCGTGCATGGACTTCTGTCCAGGGACAGCTGCAAACTGGTCCCCAATCAGTCACATTCTTGGAACAGTTCAAATATTATGCCAGCCTTCACTCGAGTCAGAGGAGAATCTTCTGTGGTGCTTGTATGACATTCTGCAATGCATCCCATGGGTTTTGTGAGAGCAGGACCTTGGTTAGCACAGCACAGACTCTTTAAGAAAGAGCTGACCTTTAAATGCTACAGGTTTGCTCCCTTGCTGCCAAAGACAGGGAGCTTTATAATTGTGTTTCACTTCACAGGACAGGTCAAAACATTATGTTGACACACAAGGGACGACAATACAAGTGGCAACTCCACTCCCATCTGCACTTTGTGCCACTCGTCCCTGGCAGCAGATGCTAGAAGAGGGGTGGCCAGTGCAACCACATACCGTTAGCAGCGTAGGCTCTGACTCTTCCATGTAGGTCTCCAAGAACCGGAGCATGCTCTGCTGGAAAAGCTTGTAGGAGAAGTTTCGGATGATTGGATGAGACGCATTCTTCTCACGGATTATGCTGAGCAGCTCTGTCCTCAGTTTCTAGGTAAGAGGCAAGAGGGGTCTGAACACGTGCAGGGGGCATGGGTGAAAAGATCAGAAGATGGGGGGTAGGGGTGAAGATTTCTTCACTAGACAGTACAAAATTGACTCTTTTTTTTTGGTCTAGATCAGGAAAAAGCCAAAGAAGCCCAAGACCTCTGTCAGCCTCTCCAACTACCGTCATCTCCAGTACCCAGTGCTCTTCCCTTTGGGTCTGGCAAGAGCAGACCCAAAGGGAAGAGAATGCAACATTCTGGGCTGCACCACTCCAACTCCTTCTTGTGAGCCCAGAAACAACACTGTGGCTGTCAGTGTCCTTCAAGCAGAAAGATAGGATATGCCAGCCAGGGCCACTGGGAAGAAGTATTCCCAACAGCCATCACGTTATCTACATGCTAGATGCACCAAGGTAGTGTAATCCAAAAGGGACCTATTTTCCTGCTAATGTTTATTCTCATCCCCTTCTTTTTTCCCCAAATTACAGGAATTATGAAATGCAATGCAATTATACAGTGAGTGACTGGAAGTTTTATTCTACCAGGTACAAGCATGTGAGAAGTAAAGATTTTTGTGCATGACATCTTTTATTGGACCAGTGGATGGGTAAACAGTGGAATGCTGGTATGCCAGATGTTGGTGCTGGGAGGTATAGAGGGAAATTCACCACGGACAAAGGAAGTTCTACCAGTCGGGAAAAACAAGGTAAGCATGTGCGAAGTTTTCAGCTATATCTTACCACTTCCTAGAATTCAGAAGTTGAAGAAATAAGAAATCTTAGGGGATAGAAATGAGGCACCCTAAATGCACTTTGCTAATGCCAGAGATGCTGTATTGCAGCCATTCAACCAGCAGGAGCCATCAACAATCCCTGGGCTGAGCATTATTTTAAGTATTGATCAGTACTTGTAACAATCTTCCTGTGTGCCCATGGTCACTAATTGAGCCACTGGTATCAGATATATAACTGGTATTCTGTTATAGGATACTAGAGCCTTTTTTAAAGTATCTGTGTAACTGCTATTGGCCTTCTGGTTTAATAAAGGGACTTCAACTGAATTATCACATTTTCTTGCATACAACCTGACCCAGAAAATAAACCTTGTTTTTGAAAGCCAAATGAAGAAATAAATACCCTTCCTTGTAAGATGCACCTGAATAGCAGCAGCTAAGCAGCCAAGCCTTTTCACTGTTCTGCTCCCTGTGCAGCAGAAGCTGTTTGTACGGTATTACCCACATGTACTGTACACTCCAATCCCAGCAGCAGGTTTTGGAGAAAAGGTGTATATGTATGCAAGACAATACAGTAATGACCCAGTCAGCTGAATTCCAACACAGACTTCTGTTGGAGGCAACTATGTGGAGGCAGGTTTTCTTACGTTCAGATTGGGACGTGGTCAGTTCTTGGCCCACTTCAGTAATGAGTCCTAGAACCAAACATTCCCTTTGCCCTACTCCCCACGGTCTCATTCCAGTCACAATCCAATTTACCTGGTTGCTGGGGTCCTTGGCCATGTGTTTTCTTATAATTTTTGATGCTTTATCAAACTCTTTCTTTTTAATGCAAATGATGATAGCCTGCAGAAGGAAAACATGAGTTTTTCTACTGGCATTCATTCAAGGACATCCCTCAAATCAGCTTCACAAGCATAATCCAAGCTAGGCATCACTCACTACCCAAGCAACAGGGAAATACACTCTTTGCATTAAATTCATGAACAAGCTGCTCACCCGGTGATGTCATACCATGCAACTACCCTGCTACTAAGTGGTTATGTTTTTAAGGACTGCAGTACCCAGTTATCCTGGGTACAATGCCACGCCGTTGCTATCCTGTATTTTGCTGAACATCCCAGCAGTCTGAAAACCTATCTTTCCTTGTTAGGCCACCTTGGCTTTTTTAATTTTAGAATAAATGGTCTTCTACAGAACCACACCTTACACAGCACCCACATATGACACCAAGCAGCTAATAGCCTCACCCCTACCCCAAAGAGCTCACAAGTGAAGGCAAGCCCTATGTAGAAATTGGTGGGGCATGGGGAACGTGCCAAAGGCATGTGGCTATTTTGAGGAGGCTTCACATGCATCTTGTAGCCCCTGGTTTGTCTGCTGAATATACGCAACAAGCTTTATAAACATAAGAATCACATTTTAAGTATATAAAATACCCAAAAAGTCTCCCCATACTACTGAAAAGTAGACATTGGCTTGTGCAGGGTGGGGGTGTCCAATTAAAAACCAAAGTTTTGTGAGGCATTCTATATTGCCAAAACACTCCAAAAGGAAGAAGGCAATGAAGAGGAATGATGAACCAGTTCCAATATAATGGGAAATGTTTTTAAGTCTTCATGGCAGAGAAATGGTAAAATACAAGCAAACTGTCTATTTTTTCAGGGCATTAGATCCTCACTTGTTAATACCAGTATTTTCCTAGAGATGTTCAGCAAGACCAGGGACACAGGCAAAGTGAGAGAACAGACAATGGCCCTCAATGTAAGAGGAGCCATTTTATATACTTTTTCGACTGAAGTATATAGAATGCTAAAATATTTTAATTTAAAAGGAAAACCTGGGCCTTACAGCTTCCTTCACTGTTTTCTTCACAGGTTCCATCTTTGGGTCAGGCACAGGAAATTCTTTCTTGATAAGCTCCAGGACACCCATCGCAGATTCAAGAGGAGTGAGTTCTGATTCTCTATCAAAGGTGCAGTCTATAACACAAAGGAATAATTCATTCCCACTGGTTTTACAACACCCAAGTACAAATCCTTCATAGGGTGGAAAAGCAAGCAAATTGGGATCTGTTCAGTTTGGCTGTGTGCACTGCAGTAACCAATACTGCAGAAAACAAAGAACAGCAGACAAAGATCAGGAACAGACAATTTAATGGTCAGAAAGGCTTGACAGGTACACAAGCTCCTCAGAAATATTGTGAATTCTGGAGAGTTTGAAAGAGCTTGGAAGAACAAAGACAACGTGGTAAACAAAGCTGTTCACTTCACTCTCAATTGCAGACATCTCAAGAAGAAAACCAGGAATGAACGGAGCAAGCAAATAAATATGCTGGCAGAATGGTGCAGGGTTGTTGGTTGTACCCGTGTTGGTCTAAGGACATAGACAGGCAAGGTTCTTTGGGTAGATGCGGTATCTTTTATTAGACCAACTGAATAGTTAGAACAGTTTTGTCACACTTTTAGCTTCTTTCACTCCTTGGAGATCTCAAAACTACAGCAGAGTCTCCCTATGCCTGAAGAAGGGTATTTGTTGCCCAAAAGCTTTCAAAGAACTTTGTTCCAACTACTCAGTTGGTCTGATAAAAGATCCCACATCAACCCAAAGAACCTTGCCTAGCAGAATGGTGTAAGAGTGAAGTTGTAGCTGTGATGGTCCAGAAATTGGGTGAGAAACAAGGATTTCTTAGGAAGATATCTTTTATTGAACCAACTACGCAGTTGGGGTAAAGTTAGATAAGCTGTCCAATGCAAGACATTCTTTGGTAGGTCTCCGATCGCAGGAAGCCAAGTACAGCATAATGAAACATGGTAGAAAGCAGGAGTTGAGAGACACTCTCAAGGATAGCAGACACACAGTTAACAGAAGAAAAGATTACTGGAAGATCCAGGCCTATCAAAAGGAAGGAGGCACGCTACCACCTTTCTTGTGCAGAAAGAATTCAGGAGTTAGATAAAATATAATGTGCCATAAACATGATAACAATGTTTAGTTCACCTTTTAAAAGCCTTAGATTTCCCTGGAGCACAAGGATAGTTTGATCAGACAGGAAGGAGTTGTTCTGACTAATGTGCTCCTAATGGTGCATGTATATCTCTGCCCTATATATTTTTTTCTATGACAGGTCATTATGGTGCATAGTTCCTGTTTAGTTTCAGCCACATAGCTGCCACAAAGGCACTCGGTACATCAGATCACATAAATCACCTTTTGGGAAAGGTATGCGTAGGAACCATGGATTCTGACTCTTTATTTATGGGGGGAGGGGGGAAGCAGTGGTTCCCAATCTGTGGTAGGGGTACCGCCAGTGGTACGCAGACAACCTGTCAGTGGTACGTGTTAATAGATTTATTATAATAACTTTATATAACAAAAATGTGCTGGTGATACTTAAGGTTGAACTGATAAATTTGCTGGTAGTACTTCAGGTTGTATCATTTTAAATTGGTGGTGCCAATCTGTCAGAGTTTGGGAACTGCTGGGGAGGAGGATGTTGATAGTGGCCACAGAGATGTACTGACAAGTTAAGCATTTCTTCTGAAGGCAAGGTTGTATTTCACTTGATGTCTGTTGGGCAGTGAAGAGTTTGCTTCTGACAAGTTACACAGTTTACATTTACAAATATCAAGGAACTACAAAGTTAATTTTTTTTCCAAAACACCAAAGGAAGATCAAACCTGATCTTTAGGTTTTGCTCATATAAAGCTTCATCCAAAACCAATAAAATTTGCTGCTTTACTTACTTTTTAAAATATGTTAAAAGATTTCTTTTAAATCCATTCAACTTGAGATGGCTCCACATAACCATTGCATACTTTTTTTTTTTAGCACCAGCCAAACAAGTGGAAGATAAAAACTATGCCCTATAAGCTGCATATGGAAAAAAGCAGAGATAACCATGTCCCAGGGGACAAAAAATAAAGGTAGAAAAGGCTGCATCAGGGGTCACAAATCAGATTTATCTTTAAAAGACTTTTTTTTCAAGGTGTAATGTATTTGGAACGTAGGGGAATAATGTTTTTTGAAAACTGATGGTTACCCCCTTTTTAATCCCTTTGGGCAACACCCCCCAGCAGAAGGAAGAACAAGCCGTGCTGTGTGTGAAGATACGTTCCTGACTCGAAAAAATCCTGCAGCTGAAAGAAGTGCAAACTGTTATCCTATTTTCTGATCTATTCCCTTTGCACGCTGGATGGCGCCTCACAGGTCTATACTGTTTCAGGGCCGTTTTATGTAGAGTTTAGATGACGGTTGTACGGGATGGTCTGGATAGGGACGATGCTGCCGTGGGCAAAGGGTGGACTGGATGCGACCCCTGCAGCTCCCTTCCAGCCCCACTGCTCTGTGACCAGTTTCAGTTGCTGCTCAGCTGCCCTTGGTCTGCCCTCCAGATCTATGCACCCCCTTTGCTTAAAGAAACCTTTATCAACAGAAAAACCTACGTTTTTTGAGGAATTCACAGAAAATTCGCAGACCTTTACCCCCCTCCACCTTAATTCTGATTAAAACGAGATCCAAGCAGACCAGCCCATTTCCACCAGATCAGAAGGTGGCTGGATAGACCCCACAGCGTGGTTGCTGGGGGGGCAGGAGGCACCCGAGTCTTCCTACCTAAATTCTCGCCCTCCTCAATCCGGGAGAGGAGCTGCATGATCCGGAGCAGGCGGGAGACGGCCGGCTCCTGGGCGAGGGGCCGCACAAGCAGAGCTGATGGGGGAATGGGCAGAAAGCTCAGGTATGGGGCCGCTGCAAACCTTCCTGCTGCAACCAAAGGGTCCTGTGTCCCCCCTCGGGGCTTGTCCCG